GACTATTTTCATCAACAACACCATGTTGTACAATAGATCTCTTGAACTTATCCCTCTTATCTAACTGAAATTTGTATCCTTTGACTAAACCTTTCCAACCCCTGCCTCCCAGTCCCTGGCAACCACCATTGTACTCTCTGCTTCTGTGAGTTCAACTTTTTTTTTCTTTTCTTTTTTTTTTTTTTGAGATGGAGTCTCACTCTTGTTGCCCAGGCTGGAGTGCAATGGCGTGATCTTGGCTCACTGCAACCTCTGCCTCCCAAGTTCAAGTGATTCTCCTGCCTCAGCCTCCTGTACAAGTTCAACTTTTTCAGATTCAACGTGTAAGTAAGATCTTGCAGTATCTGTCTTTCTGTGCCTGGCTTATTTCACTTAATATAATGCCTCCAGGTTCATCCATGTTCTTGCAAATGACAGGATTTCCTTCTTTTCTAAGGCTGGATAGCATTCCACTGTGTATATATACCACAATTTCTTTATCCATTCATGTACTGATGAACACTTAAGTTGATTGCATTGTTTTGACCATTGTGAATAATGCTGGAATGAACATGGGAGTGCAGATACCTCTTTAACATACTGATTTTCTTTTATTTGTGTATGTATATATTATAGCAGTGGGATTGCTGGATTATATGGTAGTGCTGTTTAAAATTTTTTGCTTTTTACATTTTCTTTACTATTTTTAAATTTTTAAGAGTATTTTACAAATATTTCTCACATTATTAAATACTCTTTGAAAACAATCTTGAAGGCTGTATGAACTCATTGTATCAGTGGTTAATAATCTCCATAGCCATTCACCTGTTGCTCTACTTTCAGCTTGCATCTAAGTTTTTGCTATTACAAATAAACTGTGCTGAACATCTTCTTGTGCAAAATTTAATAATACTTCCTGAAGGTGTATTATTAAATCTAAGAATGTGAACATTGTTAAGGTTAACTCTTCTGAAAGAGGAAATAAGATTATCCTGGACCACATGCTGGTTCTTTGTGGCCAATTCTTTCCCTTCTGAATATTCAAGGCCATCCATTTCATCCTCTCTTTTAGCCACTCATCCCATATTAATGTCAAGTTCACCTTTATATACTTTTACATTCTAATTTCTTAGCCCTTTTGAAAATCAGGAAGACATTGCCTGCCTCATCATTCTTCCAGAAATATTTCTGTTGATGAAGTTTCCTTAAAAATGAAGTCTCTGATCTGTGAGCTCCCTCAGTACCCTTGCATATGATATATACAGGTCAGAAGACCTGAGCTGTTCTGGGGCAGCAAAGTACATCTTACTGCCTCCTTCTGTACTTGGAGCTTCAAGTTCTCTTTCCAATAGTGCTCTTCAAGTTTCCACCCTGATCATAATTCTCTTTAATAAGGGAAACCAAAGGAGTATGTGGCAGAGAATGTCAGTCGCTGGGCAAAATTCATGCTCTGCTCTACTTCCCAGGCACACAGCTGGGGGACATCTCCAGACTCCCCTGCAGCCAGGTGTGGCCATATCATTGAGGTCCAGCCAGCGAAGCATGGTCAGTAGTAATGTGTGCCTCTGTCGGCCTGGCCATTAAGATCCCTGCATGAAATGGAGATCACACCCAGGGGGACCTTGGAAGTCCCATGATGAAGAGGCCAGAGCTTTTGTCAGGCAGCGTGGAGGAGGAGTACCCTGATGACCCACTCACCCTCGACAGTTGTGTTTGACTGTGGACCTGTTTTCTCTTTGGCCACTCTGGGCTCATTTGCAGTTATAACTTCATTGCTTCTGCTTGAGCTGTCCTTCCTTTATCTCAGATCATGAGATCAAGCATGCCTAATTTTTCTCCAAATACCTGGGACTTTCCTTCTGAACTCCTGGTTCAGAGTCAAGCTGCCCCAGGCTCCTGGATGACAGGGAGCTTTCTCTCACTCTCATCTTACAGTTTCCCCTAGCCGTGCAGAATTAGATCCAAAATGGTGCTTCTCTTCATGATTTTCTCTGCTTTCTGAGAAACGGAATTTTCATTTGGGTAAGAATTTGATAGAAATGGTATTTGAAATTTTAATAGAATTGAGAAAAAAAACATTCATAGCCACAGTTGTCTGGTATGTAATGAAGGTAGATCTTGCTGAATGGAACATCCTTCTCTGCTACTTGGTGGGTTTAAATGGCTGAGTTCGGTAGCAGGAATGGTAGAGAAATAAATGACTCTACAGAATAAAGGCGGAAGGATTTGGAGTTCTGGAAGCAATACCAAAGGGAAGGAGTAAGGAGGAGAGAAGGGAGAATGAGGAGAGCAGGTTGGACCACTCCATAAGAGGAACCAGCCTAAAATCCTCATGGGACCGGATGGCTCAAGAGCTTTTGAGAACAGTGGTGTCTAATATTTCCTTCAAAGTTGTTGCATAGATCTCCACTCCTTTGAGGGGTTGGTACTAGGCTGGACAGGCATTGGGGTTCACTTGGGTGGCTGGCAAAATATTAGGGAAAGTTAGAAGATTATAGTCTCAAACCTTTTGGAAGGCCAAAAGTTCTGATGGAACAGGCTGACGGCAGCCAGTATTAGAATTTTAAGTCATAGGGTAAAAGAACAATAAAGTTTCCCCAGCTAAGTCTGTTTACCCCACATTCCTTTGTCTCTACTCTATTGTGTTTGCTGATGTAAACTTTGTGCTGATGGCCCTCTCAGGGAGATGTCAAAGGGGAGTTACCTGTTAACAGTGTTTACTCTGGGCCCTGGAACCAAAAGCTTTTATCATTCATAAAACCACTCTTTCAACCATGTTAATTATCCACAAGCATGTTAGTTAAAAACCTCTGTTAAAAAATTTATACTGAATAAATGTGAGGATGGAGAGGGAGTCTTGGTCAATTGGCTGCCATCGCCCTCTGTAAGCAGCTGATGACCGTCCCTAACCCACCTGAATCACTGAATCAGGTGTGAGAGTGCATTTATTCATCCGTCTTTGAGTGAGGGTCTGCAGGACAGACCTCCACAGGTGGTGTCAATGTCTCAGGTGGTGACCCCCATGTGAACAAGGTCACAGGTGGTACCCCATGTAGGGGACCCCATGTGAGGTGACCTGATGTGACACTTGCCACAGCTGGTGCCCAAACAGGGACCCACAGACATGATCAAGGTCTCAGACACGGACAGCACACAGATGCTGAGACAGTCCACAAGCTGAATTTTCCAGATGCAGGGGCTGAGAACCAGCGGTGACTATACGTGTGAGCCTCTGCCCACCTTCTGCCCTGGCCTGCCTCCTGAGAACTTGCCAAACTTTTGAGAAGGAATTTAGACTTCCAAAGGATGAAGAATAGAAGTTTGAACCAATCTTATCTAGGGAGGCTCCCATTGACATCCAAATTATGTAATAAACATGGCCACTAGTGAAATACTACTACTATTACTACCACAAAAATAAGAAATTAAGTAGTTAGGTCAGGAATTTGGCCCGTTCCAACACTGAGACTGGAAAGATTACACAGTGTGCCTGAGGGACGCTCTGCTCTTGTTCTCAGGTTCTCTGGCTCCTATTCCTTGTGTCCTCAGTCCTTGCCTGTGAAGAGGGTGCAGTGAGCAGCGTAGCTCCTCACCCTCCTCCTCTGGTACCAGGTGCTCCTGGGCCCTCAAGGACTCAGCTCTTCCTTGAGCAGCTACTGCAGGGGCTGTTGGCTTTATCAGTGGCCCATTCTGTCAAAGAGCTGAGCTCAGGGGTACATATTGGGGGAGTGAGGTTCCTACTACCTTGGAGACAGTTTTTTCCTAATAAAGGGAAGCATGTAAGAAATAAGTTCATTAATAAGTTCATCATTGGTCATAAAAATATTTTATCTGATGGCAGAAGGCCTAAATCTTTGTTCCCATGAAAGATTTGCTCCTTAAACCAGAAGGATGAACTAAAGGTGGTGAGACATTGGGGCCATCTGGGCAGCTGTGGAGAAAGAGTCTGTGGATCTGACCTACTGTTCTCCTCTTGTCCAGATAAGGATGTGTGTTTGTGTGTTGACTGGTGAGGACGGGAGGAGGTTTCCTGAGTGCAGAGTGCCAAAGTGCAAAGCCTGAGATAAAAAGTCATAAATAGACCTAGAGCCTGACCCAGAGCCAGGCCCAGTGTCCTTGGGCTGGTAAGGCTTGCAGGCCAGGTCCCAGTTGGGGAGGGGGGACTGGGGCTGAGCAGCTGCTGTGGAAATTTCCATGGGCTGTCCACTAGCTCTTGGTAAGCTCTTGCATTCGGCATGGCATGGGCAGGACGTGGGTTATGAAAGAGGCACAAGACTGAGTCCAAGCTTATAAGAAGCTAGGCCCCTAGAGAAAAGACTCTTGCCAAAGAAGCAAGTAAACAAACAGGTTGGAAAATCTTGAAACAAAATTGTAAATAAGGTCAAGGCATGGAACCAGTCAAGAAAAGTCAATATCACCTTCCAATTATTAGAACCTCATTTCACCTTCTCAGGAAAATGTTGAAAATATGAACTTTGCATTAAGGTAAAAGTGGATTTCATTATTTTAAATACTAATAAAGAGGTCACAAACAATAAGTTTTTTTTAAGAAAAATAGTTTTTTTACAGGAGTTTTAAAATGTTTTTTATATTGAGTAGCTATTTCATGTTTTCTTAAAACAATTATTGTACTGAACTAAAAATAAACTAGGTAGTTTGTTCACATAACAAATATACACTCAAAGACATGCTTACAGATTTTCCACTTGTCCATTTTTCTGTTCTCAGCATTACTTCAAATGCCTCATTCCGTCATCATGTTGAATTGTTCAGCATCTTTTATATCATTTCCAGGGCATCTCTGGGAGTAGGCCTATCTTCCCTCAGCACACTGATAACTCCAATATACCCACAATTCACACCTTTTCTCTTCTCTGATGTGTGCCACTTTTTGGCACAACAGAAAAAACACACTACTAGGATTTGAAAAACTAAATTCTGGGCCGGCTTAGGTCATATAGTACAGAAACCTTAGGTCATATATTCTTGTTTCTCCACTGTAAAAAATAATTCATATTTGCTTGGTCCTTTGTAGTCCTTTACTATTTCACTGATCTTTATGATAAGCCTTAAATTTAAGTAAGGTAGCATTATGCTCATTTTATAGAAGAAATTCAGTCTCAAAGAGGATATAGTCTTCCAAAGATCCCACAAGTAGTAATATATTAGGCAGAGCTAAACTCACACACTCTCACTCAAGATCCTGGTACCAGTACATGCCATGCTAGTAAGTTTGCTGAAACGGATGAAGCAGTGATTTCTCAGGTCCCTTCCAATGATCCTGTTCTCTGCTTTTACTTGCTATTTTTCCTCTCCTCTCTCAACTAGTGTTAACATCCAAAACTATATGTAATCACCAAATTTCATTTACCATGGTTTTTTGATTTAATCTTAAAATTTTTCTATTTCCATGTTAAATCTAGAGAAATGTTACTTTTTCTAAAGTTTCTACTGCTGCCTGCCTCTCTGAAGGCCAATGGGACTTACCTATTTGTTTGTCAAAGGGAATGTTACAAATTCCCAACATTTTGTAAACACCACTAATTACTTTTTATAACTGTAAAGACAATTATTCCATACTTAAAGCCAATTCAAAATAAAATAAATCCTCAATACTTTTTATTCCCTGGAGTAGTAATTTTAGTTAGATTCTATTGATTTATTATTTTCTCCTGTGTGCCTTTATTTGAGAAACACTGTTAGTCTACTTTGCTATCAAGTCTCTTTCCCTAACAAGAAAATGTCAGTCTTAAGAGTCAGGAAAGCTTTTACTTTCACTATCACATATGAGGAATGAACTAAACATCAAACTTGGAAAGTAAAACTTAAATGAGGGATTCAGGACATTTCCCAAGGGGTCATATGACCATTTAAAAGTGGGTTTGATGTGCCTAAAATAACAAATTAACTCTTTTATTTAAAGGTGCAGATGTGCTGATTAGTCATGCTGACATGTACGTATGAAATATGCCTAAACCAAATTAAAACAAAACAAAATACATTCGATGGCAATCTTGAAAAGTCAGGGAGCTCAATAAATATTAATAGCATGCTCTCACAATGAGAGCATTAAACACTTGGTAAATTAACATAATTTAATAAAAATGAGAAAATATACAGGATGAGGGGTAAGGAGTACACAGAGGACATTTTTGTGCCTTTCTTCATTTTGATTGTATTGCTTTCTTGTCTTCAGGAGGGAAGATGTTGACTTCAAAAGTAACAAAGTATTTAAGAAGGGAATTCACATCTTTCTGTTCTAGATGGTATTCTTGCGCTGTTTTCTCAGCAGTCCATGTTTCTGGATAAAGCTTATGGTTATTGAGAAGTGTCAATCTTTCTACAACGGAAATTTTGCCTTTGGGAATGCTCTTAATATTGATTATATCAAAGTGATGGCCTTTCAGCAATCTGAATTCCTTTGGCTCTTGACATGTTTCAGCAGCTTTTACCTGCACAGAAGACACAGGATCTTTGGAATCAACATACATACCTTTTAGAAATGATAGTAGCTTGTCACCTTTACAGGCAATCTCTCCCTTAATTTCTGGATAGACGCTAATCTGCTCTCACAGGAGGCTGCTGGTAGAGCGGTGCCTGCAGCGGGAGAGGGCTTCATCTTGCTGATTTCCCGTTCTGCTCGGTTCTCTAGGTTGAAATTCCTGATCCCACAAGTCACCACAGCCCCCATCTCCTCGTAACCTGATGCTGTCAGGTTCATGCCACATGTCAGAAAAAACTTTTTATAATTAATCACCACTTGCCAGAGTTTGAGATACTCTTAAGAATTCAGGTTAAACTTACAAATTGTTTTTAGTACAGAACAATGACAAATTATCCAAAGACATTAGTTCCATGTATTGGTAATTGTTACCAAAAGCCTTACAAGTGTGAAATTTTGTAAAATCAATGTTGCAACTATCCCAGGAATTGGAGATTTGTTTTTTTCCTCTCTAGTAAGATTCAGGTCGTGTGTGTGTGTGTGTACAAGTGTGTGCACACGTGTGCATGTGCAATGTATGAACTCACAATGCTCACCATAATGCTGCACTCCCAATGCACCGGTTAAGATGCCTTTGCTTGTAAGTAAAGAAGCCATGAAGAGGATATATTAGTTCACATGGCTGAAATGTTAAATGTTAGGGCAGCCTTCTAGTAAGTTTCAGTCAGGGCTCCAGCACCATTTCTCTCTAATTCTCTCTGCCCTGCCCTTTTGTGGCCAGATTCCTTTTCAGGCTGGCTCATTCATGGTGGCAAGATGTCTGTGAAGAGCAACTCAGCCAACAACAACTTTTCTAAGGAGAGAGGAGCTATTGTTTCCTGCAGTCATTGCATAGAAGTCCTGAGCTTCCTTCTGATTGGACCATCCCGGGACCAGTCATTGAGGATGTGCCATGTGCTGGTTGGCTCAGGCTCAAAAACCTATCACTTTATCAAGTGAGTTGGGATTGACTTATACCAGGGGACATGATATGGTTTGGCTGTGTCCCCACCCAAATCTCATCTTGAGTTGTAGCTCCCATACTTCCCCACGTGGCATGGGAGGGAGCTGGTGGGAGGTAATTGAATCATGGGGTGGGTGGGGGAGCTTTCCCATGCTGTTCTTGTGATAGTGAATAATTCTCGTGAGATCTGATGGTTTTATAAAGGGGAGTTCCCATGCACAAGCTCTCTTGCCTGCCACCATGTAAGATGTGACTTTGCTCCTCATTCACCTTCTGCCACGATTGTGAGGCCTCCCAAGCCATGTGGAGCTGTGAATCAGCTAAACCTCTTTCCTTTATAAATTACCCAATCTCGGGTATGTCTTTAGTAGCAGCATGAGAACAGACTAATATAGTAAATTGGTATTGATAGTGGGGTGCTGCTGTAAAGATACCCAAAAATGTGGAAGTGACTTTGGAACTGGTTAACAGGCAGATGTTGGAACAGTTTGAAGGGCTTGAAACTTCCTAGAGACTTGTTGAATAGCTTTGACCAAAATGCTGATAGAGATATGGACAATAACATTGAGACTGAGGTGGTCATATCACTATCAGCCTCATCCAGGCTGAGACGGAGATGAGGAACTTGTTGGGAACTGGAGTAAAGGTCACTCCTGCTATGCTAAGAGGCTGGTGGCATTTTTTTTTTTCTTCTTTGAGGCTGGTGGCATTTTGTCCTTGTCCTAGAGAGCTGTGGAACTTTGAACTTGAGAGAGATGATTTGGGGTATATCTGGCAGAAGAAATTTCTAAGTGGCAAAGTATTCAGGAGAAAGCAGAGCATAAAGTTTGGAAAATGTGCATCTTGGCGATGCCATAGAAAAGAAAAACCCATTTTCTGGGGAGAAATTCAAGTCAGCTGCAGAAATTTTTAGTAACAAGGAGCCCAATGTTAATCACCAAGACAAAGGAGAAAATGTCTCCAGGGCATGTCAGAGGTCTTCACGGCAGCCCCTCCCATCACAGGCTTAGAGGCCTAGGACGCCTTCTGCCATGATTTTGAGGCCTTCACAGCCATGTGGAACTGTGAGTCCATTAAACCTCTTTCCTTTATAAATTATCTAGTCTCAAGCCGGGCGCGGTGGCTCACGCCTGTAATCCCAGCACTTTGGGAGGCCGAGGCGGGTGGATCACGAGGTCAAGAGATCGAGACCATCCTGGTCAACACGGTGAAACCTCGTCTCTACTAAAAACTACAAAAAAAAAAAAAAATTAGCTGGGCATGGTGGCGCGTGCCTGTAATCCCAGCTACTCAGGAGGCTGAGGCAGGAGAATTGCCTGAACCTGGGAGGTGGAGGTTGCAGTGAGCCGAGATTGTGCCACTGCACTCCAGCCTGGTGCCTGGTGACAGAGTGAGACTCTTGTCTCCAAAAAAAAAAATAAATAAAATAAAATAAAAATAAATAAATAAATAAATAAATTACCTAGTCTCGGTTAGCAGCGTGAGAACAGACTGATATAGGGCACCAACCCTGGAGCTGGGTGAGACCAGTGCCACTCAAATTGATGGTGGCTACACAGTGGGGAGGAGAAGGGTGATAGACATTCCAACGTCTACCACACCTTGGTAACAATTTAAACATTTTTTTTTTTTTTGCTTTGAAGGGTACTTTCTAGGCACTATAAGAGATATAACGATACACAGCTGACAATCTATTAGGTATAAAAAGACAAGCTGACAAATAACTACAATACATTATTAGGTGTAATGTAAAAATGACACATATAAATGCAAAAACAAAGTACATGGCAAATATAAAGGAGAGAGACAGATTGTTTCTGACTGAGGTGATCAGAGAGGTGTCGCATAGCAAATAACGCGGGAATTAGGTCTTAAAGAGTGAGTGGGATTTTAGTGATTATGGAAAAGGAGGGGCATGGGAGGTGGGGAGCTTTAAGAGTAAAGACACAGAGGCAGAAAGCCAAGGGAGAGTTGGAGAAAGGGCCCAGGTAAGTTGGAGCACAAGTTCTAGAAGTTGCTGCTAAGGCAAGAAATGTTTCCCCAATACAAAGAAATCTCAGGGTTCAGATAATACCTAAGGAGCTAGGATAATAAAGTCAGGGAACAAGGTGACAATGTCTTTATTTTCTCCCATAAAGAAACCTGGCTCAAGCCTCCATTCACCTGATTAGTAGAAAATTTGGTATCTCCATGGGGCTCCCCCACTCCTTAATTGTGTTCAACCCAATGCTTTACATATTCCTGACTTTCACATGCAGGCAGAGGCCACTGGTCTCTAGTCAGTCCAGTAGCAAACACCCATTCCCAGGGCTCTGTGGCTCCTCAGGGAGGACAGTTTGAACTTGGTCATGAGTGTTCCTTCCCAGGGCCCAGGGCCATGATCTCAGAGCTCTGCTCTTCAGTTAAATTCACAGCTTCCCCACCTGCCAAGTCACTCACTGTCCCAAGGACTTTGGATGAGAAGTAGCTTGGGATACCCACGTGGATGCAGAATTCCTTTATTTATTTATTTATTTATTACTTTGAGACAGAGTCTCACTCTGAGGGAGCACAGTGGTGCAATCCCAGCTCACTGTAACCTCTGCCTCCCAGGTTCAAGTGATTCTCCTGCCTCAGCCCCCTGAGTACCTGGGACTACAGGCGCCTGCCACCATGCCTGGCTGATTTTTGTATTTTTAGTAGAGATGGGGTTTCACCATGTTGGCCAAGCTGGTCTTGAACTCCTGACCTCAGGTGATCCTCACTCCCAAAGTGCTGGGATTACAGATGTAAGTCACCACAATCAGCCCTGGATGCAGAATTCCTATCCTCTGTTCTTCTCTGGGATCCAACCGCACCAGAAGGCAGGGAGATTTTTCTTGTTGTCTGTCCCTCAACCCCCACCATGGGCTTCCCCCTTGTGTACCCTTCCCTTGCCATACTCCCCGGAGTTCGTGGGGGTGGAGACACCTATCTGAAATACCTTACCATGACCAGGAACACTGACATCTCTCTCACTGGCGAGGAAAAGAGGAAAGAAAATAAAACCCAAAGTTCAGACACCGCTGGGACTTTCTGTTCTACTCAGATTTTTAGGTCCACGCCTCTTAGTTTCTTCCAGGATTGCTTATTTCATCCAAGGGAGCTAGACCCTCCTGTGCTCTTTTATTAAAAGTTCATCATCATGCCCGGCTAATTTTTGTATTTTTAGTAGAGACAGGGTGGGGTGGCAGAGGGAGGAGAATCACTTGAACCCCGGGCGGCAGAGATTGCAGTGAGCCGAGATCACGCCAGTGCACTCCAGTCTGGGCAACAGAGCAAGACTCTGTCTCAAAAAAAAAAA